TTTCAAAATAGTTCAAGTCTATTTATAAAAGTTCAAACCCAGATAATCGATTATTTTAAAGAATAATCGATTATTTTGTTCTTCAGATTTCTGGAAATCAACCAAGAACAATTTAATCGATTATTTAGCTGGATAATCGATTATTCCAGAGAGTTGTTTCTGAAATAATCGATTATTTTGACAAATAATCGATTATTACAGCAAGGCATTCCACTTAGCCCATTTGCTGAAATAATCGATTATATTTAACAATAATCGATTATTTTGAGTCAGTTCTTAAAACTTCATTTTAAGTCTCAAAATAATTTTCCAATGTTCTCAACTCATCATCATCTACTCCCTACTTGATTTTAGACAAGTTTTGCTCAATGCACAAAGCACACACACAAGTATACACAAATATAAAAATTCATCTCCTAAGTTCTATTACATAGTCTTAGATCATAGCATTCTCTTGACTCTTCTTTAACTTTGTTTTTGTGTTCTCCAAGTTGTTGCATGTTGTGATCATCAAAACTCCTTAAGCTTCAAGCTCTCCTAAGCTCAACAATAATGTTGTCATTCCCTAGGTATGGATACATACTGTTGATGAATATCTAGTTTAATGATATTTCTTTTTATTGTACTATGGTTAGTTTTAGACGTGCTAACCCTTATATTTCCATGATGTGGACTGTGATGATCTCACTATGTGGGGGAGCAAATCAAGTATGAGGCTTTGGGATGACAAGGAGTCTTTTTGGGTAGCTGCTTTGAGAAGTGGTTAGATTTAGAGCTTGACCAGCACCTAGGGTGTCTTATTTTGATACTTTCATGATATTGTAATTATATTATCTTTTTGGATTACTGTATAACCTTGCTAATGATGACCCTTTTATAAAAATTCTGTTTTATATTATGGAAACAATTTATACGTTATTGTATTTATATATATATATATATATATAAGCAAGCTTCTAGCTTATATCTTGTCAACTAGTATAGCTTTGATGTAATCTTTCATTAATCCCCCCGCATTTGTATAACTATCTTCTTCTTTGTAAAGCACATCCATCACCCGCGCAAGGTTGACAACACGTAGAAGAAAACTCATTGGTACTTGGGTAGGATTAAGGCATGCCTCATTAATGTCCTTCCAAGCTTTCTCAACCTCCTTAAGTAGTTCTTCAATGGCATCTTGCCTTGATGCATTGTGTTGCTTCATATAACATTCTAGGCTTGAGGCAACGTGTCCTCTTTTTTGCTCAAACTACATGAACATAATAGAAGAAAATTAACATGAATCCTAATGACTGAATTTTATTTTTTATTTAATAGTCAGCAAAATTATTATGTCTTTCCTTTCCCGACTTAAAAATTTAGGAATGAGTGACTATTTTACCAAATGGCAAATCAAAATGTTTGATCCATATTTTAAAACCAAATGGCTCCCTGTGCTTCATATTTTAAACCCAGTAGCTCTAATATTTGGATACGAGCAATATTATCTTCTTTTTCCAACAAGTAAAATTCACCATATATGACATAATGCTTTAAAAAATATAGCAATAACAATTGGTGTCAGGTTTGTACCTCACTTCCAACAATGTCATCCATGAGCCTACAGATAATTGAAGCAGCTACAATAATTTTTGGGTCACTGAGATCGGAAGAAGTTGTAATAAAAATTAAAAGTGAACAGAGGAAAGAAATTTCAAACACCAATAAAAAGACAATACGTATAATAAACTGCATCAAAGCATCATATAAGGTAAAACAATACTATAGCTTAAAATGCTACAAGAACTGACAATTCTAGATCAACCAAAATCATAAGCACGCAAATTAAAGCTACACGCAGAAATAAATACTAAATAGATAGTAGCATCTAGTATCTCTTCAATCATGTACTACTTATTATAAATTATCTCGTGGCTACCAGGTTTTATACTAACTTATAAAGGAAGTGATATATCACGAGTTCTAGTGCCATGGTTGTATGTTGGCATGTATTTTTCATCATTTGGCTGGGTAAGGCAACTAGTTAACCATTATTTATGCCACTGAATATATACAACCATCCTACTAAAATTAGCCACCAAATTGTAATTAAATTAAATATTATCCAAGAGTAAATCATTATCTTACAAAAGTAAAAAAATTCCAATAACATGAAGCCTATGACTCTTGTTCTGACGAAACAACTCGTGCCAAAACCAATCAAAAATACAATAACAACATTGCACACGAAGATTCAACATACAATTTAAACTAAAACTACAATTTAAAAATAGAAGACAACGATTATTGAAAACACTTTTGCCATTACTAAATTTCTCTGGCTAACAAAAATAATCTATAAAGGAGTTCTTATAACATCACAGAAGTGCCATCTAGCAAATAATTGAAGAGGTGCTCACCATTGCTTAGAGAAAAATCCTAATCTTTTTAATATTTAAGTTGGGTGTATGAAGGAAATTTGCAACTTCAAACAATAAGACTTATACATGATAATACTTATACACACATCCATAAAAATCACTAGTACAAAAGACCCCTTTTACGTCGGGTATTTGAAGCCTTTTACGTCGAAAAAGCATCAGACATTAATACGGGAGACGTAAATTTACGTCGCCTGTCAAAGACGACGTAAATTTACGTCAGGGATTTCGCTAGCGCGACGTAAAAAGTGGCCTAAAAACATGCCAGAATTTACGTCAGACAAGGCTATATCCGACGTAAATTTACGTCGGCCAATGCAAGGCCCGACGTAAATTTACGTCGGACATAGCCTTGTCCGACGTAAATTCTGGCCTTTTTTTTTTAAAACGTTTTTGTTTTTTGATATACCCAACACTTGCATATATATATATATAATCCAAAATATCAAACCTAAACCAGGCAGTCCAGAATATCAAACCTAAACCAGGCAGTCCAGAATAGAAATTCAAATTATATTTCAAAATTGAATGACAAAAAAAATATATATATATAAATCTTAAAAAGCATAAATTATGACAATGTAAATACCAGTCCTTCTTCTCCACGGTGGACACGTGGCCATGCATTGGTCTCCTCAACAGCACCAACACCACCAACCAGAAATCCTTCAGACACTTGGTTCTGAGAACCATAAACGAAATTGCTGCACTATTTAGGTTTAGGGATTTAGAGCGTATTCGAAATGAGAGGATCCAAATTCGCGTATTCGCACTACTAGAAGGATTGTATTCTAAGTCGGTTATTTTACCATATCTACATCGGTTTTAAATGTACCTCATTCCAACCATTTGTTACTCCCCCTTCAATTATTTCTGACATCCAATTCATGACATAGTATTCACATTCATAATGTCCTTGTTGTTTATAACTCTAAAATGAACACCAAATAAAGTAGTATAAATAGTTTTGTTTAATTAAGGTAATAAAAGAATTTCTTAGGCACATTGACTTTAATTACGAACCACTTACTTACCATGGGGTAAATCCATTCTAAGTTCTTTGACAGTGCAGTAGATATACCACTCATGACATTATACACAGCGTAGTTGTACACAAAACAAATGCAATCGGCAACCAATTCAACTTAAAATTGTTACATAACAGGAATTGAATTTCAAATAAATTGGAGTAGTGCAATATCATTTTCAATTGAAACTAATGTCTGTTACAACATTGCAATTACATTTTTCATCCTCTTTGAACTACGAAGACTCAATGCAAAATCAAAGAACTTGGGCATTTCCTAATAATTGCCATAGGTGTTAATGGTTTGTGCTAGCTTTGCCTAAACTAAATCAAGGGATAAAAACATGTGAGGATCATCATCATTGGCCAAAAGTTCAGCAAAGATCAACAATGCGGCACAGTTATGGACTAGGCAGCCAGGCAACTAGGAAGAAATGCAGTTATGGACTAGGCAGCCAGGCAACCGGGAAGAAACGCAATCATAGGCAGCAACGCCAACGCTAGCAGCACCTACCAACTAAACACGCAAACCCTTTTCACTTCCTTAACTTCCAACGTTTCCTCTGCTGAATTCTTGAACGCCACCATGGGAGCATTCGCCTTCGACACCGTGCGTGGGTTGTTCATGTGCAGGGGCAACGTGTCTCTCGAGTCGTGCCAGCAATGCGTGGTGAACGCCACGCGACGTCTCCTCTCTGAATGCGCTCTGGCGAGTGCATGATACGCTACTCCAACCAGTCCTTCTTCTCCACGGTGGACACGTGGCCATGCATTGGTCTCCTCAACAGCACCAACACCACCAACCAGAAATCCTTCAGACACTTGGTTCTGAGAACCATAAACGAAATTGCTGCACTATTTAGGTTTAGGGATTTAGAGCGTATTCGAAATGAGAGGATCCAAATTCGCGTATTCGCACTACTAGAAGGATTGTATTCTAAGTCGGTTATTTTACCATATCTACATCGGTTTTAAATGTACCTCATTCCAACCATTTGTTACTCCCCCTTCAATTATTTCTGACATCCAATTCATGACATAGTATTCACATTCATAATGTCCTTGTTGTTTATAACTCTAAAATGAACACCAAATAAAGTAGTATAAATAGTTTTGTTTAATTAAGGTAATAAAAGAATTTCTTAGGCACATTGACTTTAAAACGCCACCATGGGAGCATCTGCCTTCGACACCGTGCGTGGGTTGTTCATGTGCAGGGGCGACGTGTCCTCGGGTCGTGCCAGCAGTGCGTGGTGAACGTCACGCGACGTCTCCTCTTCGAATGCGCTCTGGCGAGTGCATGATACGCTACTCCAACCAGTCCTTCTTCTCCACGGTGGACATGCGGCCATGCATTGGTCTCCTCAACAGCACCAACACCACCAACCAGAAATCCTTCAGACACTTGGTTTTGAAAACCATAAACGAAATTGCTGCACTATTTAGGTTTAGGGATTTAGAGCGTATTCGAAATGAAAGGATCCAAATTCGCGTATTCGTGGAATGAACCTCGCGTGAAAATATTAAAGAGAAAAAATGGACTTTTATTTATAGTCGTTAAATGTATAAAAAATTGACACTTGTGATGAGTGATGGAGAGACGCTGTACGTATATGGCAGGAGAGGATCTTGATTCAATTTGGATTGAGATTTAGTAGAGAAAGGTTTACAGATGACATTGCTATGAAATAAACTTTTTACATGTTATGTGTGCAATCATACTTTTATCATAGAAAAAAAAAAAAAAAGTTATGCAATTTTCACTACTACTATAATTACATGGCAACCTATCATAATTTGTATAGATTAATTAAAGTGGTAGCAAGACAACATAATTAACCAAACTGCACTTTGTGAGGTGAAGAGAAATGCTTTGACGCAGCAACCATGGTAGCCACAGGTCCACCAGGTGCTGCACTTTCACTTTTACTCTTCACTTTTCCACCAAAAATGCACCCTGCTAAGGATTTAACTCTAGAAAACAACGAACTATTCTTCTTATCCTTATGCGCCATCTTGCTTCTGCAATACAAACAGACCTAAAGATCAAGCACAAACTGATGATATGCTGACTATATAATTTGTGTCAGAAAATTTAATTGTAAATGGTTTTCAAAGTTGAAATTATCAGCCACAAAGCACTCAAACTTCTTATAGATCGAGAATAGCATGTGATAAATGTTTGATAATTGTTGCTGAATGATGCCATGTGAATTCACTTCATTTGCCTTTTATAAGAATGCAAAGTAATTTCTTGTTCATGATGCTAAACTTGCCCACCAAGTGTCCAAGTCAACAACTTTGACAAGATTCTACTCTTACCACGGGAGTCCACGTATTTCAATTTTTTTTTTAATATATTTGTGTTACTCTCTTAGAATGTTACTTTCTTAGAAACACGTACACCTGTTTTTTTTAAGATATATTAATATATCGCATGCAAGATCAATGAAATTACGCACCAACCACAATATAAAAAATATTTGAGATTGCCCTATTTTTTTCATACTTAAAAATGATAGATAAAAATAACACCCCATAACTATACTAGAGAGAAAATCAATAACATATTTAAAACTCTCACTCTCAGATCAAATATCACTATTTACTTAATAATTAGTGAGAATTTTGTAATATCTAATAATATATGTAATATTTGGTTTTTAATGTATCTATTAGGTATCAAACTATATAAAAAGATTATGATTAGATTTGTAGTCATTTTAATTCAATTTCTAGAATTAATTTATTGCGGCATAAAAGCGTCACAATAGTATATGGCAGATTTCTGCAAGGACACAATTACACATATTATAATAAATAAATAAAAAATCAGTTACAATTTTTTAGCTTAAAAGTCTAATAAAAATTAACAAAACGTTCGTGAGCATACTAATGTATCACCTATCAATTTAAAGTATTCACTTGTTAAGTTTTAATTAGTCTTCTTACAGGGCTAAAAGCTTGAACAAGGCAAACATGGTCGAACATCAGATGAAACCAGATGGTCAACACTGACGAATAAACAATCAAGGCAAGACACATCATGAGAATCAGACAACTCGAGCTAACAAAATAGACAAAGAATAGTGTGTGTACTAGACAACTATGGATCTAATATCAAATGAAGGTGTATCAAAAGAGAAACTCGAACGCTATAAGAAGTCAGAAGAAAGGAGGTCAAGAATG